TTTTTTTTTAGCTTCTACCAGTTCCATTCTTCTGCCCTAAGGGCATTTTCATTTCCATTGGGTGGTAAAGACGATATACCTGGACCTTTTCTTACTGTTATCATACGTGACATTTTCCGCTTTATGTACAATGTTTGAAATAATTATGGAAACACAGGAAAATGTGGGTATTAAATATGCTTTGCGCCACAAATGAAGTGTACGGCATCCGGGAGGGAGAGCTCAGCTAGCCCTGCCACACGCACAGGAGAGATTTCCTCCGAGAGTCTCCCTCTGATCTCGCCTCTGATGTGAGCCTTATTATTCACCACACCCGCAGGACCAGCTCCACAGACACGCCTCGGGGTTTCACCCCCGCGGGTCGACACAGGAGCCGCCACCGTTAGCTCACACATCGATTTGCACAAGAGCAGTCGTAGTGTCTTCTGCCGATTGAAGACTCCAGTTCGGGCGTGGAGGGGTCTGGCCCGGGCAGGGTTTTGGAAGCGAGGAGCTGGTTTAAGAATTTCAGCCAAGTCCTTGACCTCCAAGAAATAGCTCATATACCCAAGACACGCGGGGGCGTGGCTCGCTCCGATGGGCTGCCTGACACAAACACTAATATCGCAGTTCCATTCGAGATAAAAGCTTTTAATCTGACGTAACCATTTCTTCTTCCGATACATACGTTAAATTGACGTGCACAAAGATGGAGATAATGTTTTCGTTTCTTCATTCAGAGTACTAAGCTAACCAGTTGAGAGTCTAGCATACAGTAGATTTTCTCCGTTAACTGGATCAAACACACTCTGTATCACTATCGTACTCTTTGTTGTATATCTAACGATGTCAATAATTCCTCGCATTGAATGTATAATTCCTCATCATTGGTGAGCCCAGAGCACCTCACACACAGGAGGGGAGCGGCTCCTACCAGATGCACACAGCGGGTCAGGTGGAGGAGTGAGAGATTACATCCCCGACTGCTGTAAGGGGGAGCATGTGGAGGCAGGTTGTACAAGCCCAGAGGGAGATTTAGCCGAGACTCTGCTGTGTTAACCCCCACTCGTCCCTGGTCACGATGCTGGGGCGCTGCTTGGACAGTGTGGCACGGAAGAGCGCCACCTGCTGGTCCAGCAGTGCGACATGCAGCAGCAGCCTGGTTCTTCATGCAGGTCTCCTGTTCCATTACTGGCCAACCCGGGTCTCCCAGAGCTCATTTCAATTTCATTTTATTTTCATTCATACAGTGGATAAAAGGCCGTGGATTACAGCTCACAAAGGCCGTTGTATTTTTTTTCCTAATGTAATTATAAAGTTCAGCATATAATAGTGACTCGTTTCCCCAAAAAAGATCAATTTCACTGCCCGCTTTTCAGTGAGCAGTTATACTAAATTGCCATCGCAGATGTCAAAGGACAACGATAATGTCATGTCCTCTTATTGTCACTAGGTGGAGCCAAAGCACGCTAACCATCAGCCCTCCCTTGTGCCGCGTATTTCCCCGCAGCTTGTGCTTTTGCCTGCTGGTCCCAGTATGTAATGTCTTATTACAAACAATTCTATCCGTTCTGATCTTATTTAAAACCAACTAAACATATCTAATATTTTCAGTTGTGTTTAATATTTCGTTGTGTTTCCTTTCCTTTCTTTTCTTTTCGGCAGGGAATAAACCCGTTACCTGCAGCTACCTGCTAGAACTCATATTTTCAGTGTTAAATGTTTCATACAACTGCACGTCAGTGATGATTCCCCCCCGGTTCTCAGCAAATGCTAAACTGCCGTCATGCCATTTCCACGGTCTGACACTACCCAGCCGAGCGCGCATTCGGCGTGGAAATGTCTGAAATCCTATTTTTACATTTGTTTCCACAGTCTGATGGGGAATAGATGCACCTTCTGTTTCATAGGCAACGAATCCCGCACGGAGAATTACATTAAAAGTCAAAGAGGGAATAACGATCTTCAGATACAAATACGTCTATGCCTCTTCAGGCTCTGTCTGTGTGAAGCCTGCATGTTCTCCTTGTGTTTCCTGCTCTTGCGATTCTGTGAGGATAAAGACTGGAAATGTGCAGATTAATCTTCTGTGCTTCACCGTATCGATCATTTATCAACATGCGCGCGGAAAGTCTAGTTTTATAAACTGGGGATTTTTTAAATACGAAAGGAGAAAGTCTGTTTTCTTATTTTATTCTCAATAAACCACGTGTCCCCCTCTGGAGACTGAAGAAGCACTGTGGGCCTTTTGTTTTCCAAGTAGCACCTGTGTATCAAAGCCGCTGACTGGGCGGCTGTCCAGCGACAGCGACTCATGTCTGAATGTTTCACCTCAGATGAATGAATCCCAGCTTCCTTCACAGCAGGAGTTCAAAAGAACATCAAAGTTTCCATTTCCAGACGAGCACTGAACCCTGCACATTTTCTGTTCGGTTAGTCATTTTTACCTGCAGCCTGCCGCAGTGCTTGTAATAGTAATAATTATAACCGCTTAAATGTGCAGTAATTAATTCGCTGGTGGTTTTCCCGCACTGTACACAATTCGACTGCCTACGGTAAACTAAAGTGTAAAGAAAAAAACAGCTGTTATTTTATTTTTTTTAAAAAAACCTTTATATTTCCAGCCTTTGAAGAGTGAACGAGGTTAATATAATTGAAACTCACTGCAACGTGTCCAGGCTGGACCTGTTCCATTGCTTTGGTGAAGTTGCTTAAATGATTAAACATCCTGGGTGAACTGTCGGGCACAGCGGTAAAACAGCGTGTCTTCCTCATCACAAAGCGAGACCTTCCAGTAAAGGCTCACAGCACGATTCCTGCCACGCTGCTCCGTGCTTGTGGAACATGCACGTCCGAGCGGTAATAGCCGATTGACTACATCTGTACAGCAGCCATCAGCCCATCGCCCCTTCATACAGCACAACTGTCCACACAGCAGCCTTTCTGCACCAGCGGCCCCGGGCAGGAGTGGAGGGAGAAACTGCAGCAGCAGCTGAATTCAGGTGGACTGCAGTGACGCCGGACTGTGACGGTTCACGGGAGTCTTCAGCCAGGACACCGAGGCGGCCAGAGCAGGACAGAACGCCGTTTAATATCTCATCTGCAAAACAGCTCCTCTGACAGGCCAGTAACCCCCTCTGGACCTGCCCCAGCCCCGCTGAGCCTCTGAGACCAGCACAGGTGCCCAGTGTAAGAACTCTTCACTGTCTTACTTCTGGAAGCTCATAGTAACCCGTATTGCCTGATGGCCCTGTCTGTTATGCTTCTTCCTTTTGTTTGCCCATAAGAGGGCAGGAGTCTACAAGGTGCGTGAGAACTGCTGTGGGAATTGATTTTAAAAACCACTCAACCTGTCCGGGGCCTGTATTTTTCACATCCGTGGGTCTATGAGCACCGAGAAACGGCCTCCTGTCGCTGAGACGGGGGTATCAAACCGGGATAGGTCTCTGTGAACTCTGGGGGGTAAACTGGATTGGTACTGGGTAAAAGAAGGCTCGCTAGCAATTCAGGTTGATGTTTGCCTTTGTGAAACCCTTCTTCCACACGCCAGGAGGAGTTCTCACCCGTGTCAGTCTCGGCGGGCTCATCCCCCGTCCGGACCGTCACCACACGGATGCGGCCCGGCTGTCGCTCCCGCTGCACTGCTGGGACCGAGCTGGCGTCCCGTGAGGGGGCAAGGAAGGGGTGAGACATCCAGAAATGCTTTCTGAGTGAGCGAAACAAGAGCTTTCTGTGAGGTTCTGTGGTGAATTGCCCCCTTTCCCCTCCTCCCCCAGTCTCCCTGCCCCCCTGCAGCCCTCGAATATCTCTGGTGTGTCGTCTCCCAGTCTCCACGGGCTCGCAGAACTGGCGAGAATGGACACACACCACCGCGAGTCGCTTCTTACGAGCTGACCCAGGCATAGCGCTGCCTGTAGGTCGTTCTCAGCCTTCTGGTGAAAGTACCCCCCCCCCGTCCGGGGGCTGGAGCCGGCCTCCCTTTCCGCCAATCCCCGGGCGAGGCGGTGACGTCATGGCATCTGCGGCCGGGACGGAGGAGAGGCGGCGCCCGGCGCTGCAGCGCAGAGACCCGGCGCCCTGCGAGCCTGGAAACCCCTCGGGAGGCAGCGGGAGAAGCCGGGCTGTGTGTCCTTCTCAGTGAAAATAAAGGGGGGGGGGTGTTGCCTTCCATTCCCATTCGCGGATTCTGTTTTCTCTCCCTCCAGCTCGCCCTGCTTTCTCCGGAGAGTGCTTGCGTCGCGGATAATATCTTGCGATCATAATTACCTGCTCTCTGCGCTGTGGGGCTGGTGCTGCAGGTTCGCCTTAGATGTGCGCGCAGATCGGCGATCAGATTACAGCCCTTTGATCACGGCCCTCCCCCGTCTTTGATCTGCGCGTAGGGCTGTTCTCCTTTCTCTGCTCGGTCTGATGGTCCGTCCGCAGTTCCGCGGGCGAGCAGATCTGCGGAGGAGCTGCTGGGTATGGTTCTGAGCTCCGAGCAGGAGGTATCGGGAAGTAGAGACGACTGAGACAAAGAGAAGTCAACAGGACCGCAGGCAGGGGGGACATTTCGGGTCTTCTCGCGTTTCTCTGGTAAGACAGCGTATGTTCGTGTTGTGTATCGGGACGCCCTGATGCGAAATCACTCGCGTGTAAAGTATGTAAATATACCTGGTGAAAAGAGAAATCTGTAGCTCCTTAACCTGTGAACTTCACCCCAGACAGACTCGCACTGTGGGGTTCAAACCCTGCAAGGGACCTCATATCTCGCGTCTTTCCGTCTTCGCTGCGAAGTCAGCGGTGGCTGGGTGCTCTGCAATCCAAGATGCTCCTGCAGCGCCGTGAAGGACAGTTTCTGGACAGTCCTGCCGTGAAAGTCAGTCACTGCGACGGGATAAGGCGAAGAAAGGGATATTCTGTTCTAACTGCCTGCGAGTGTCGAACACATGTGCTTAGCTCGCAACATACATTCAAAACGACCCTTTGCCACAAACACGTACTGTATGGAGCCACACTGGAACATGCGCACCCGTGCTGACGCCCGTGTCCGAGCCCAAGAAGAATGATCAGATCTGGGTCGGACCTTGGTGATGCGAAGTTCTCTTCAGTGCTTGTGGGTCTTGCTGGAAAAGCGCAGTTAAATGGGCGGAAGATCAGCGTGCTGGCTAAAATGCAGTCGGAATTCTTGAAGTCTATCGTGCAATTGGCATTGCACTCAGAACACGCAGACTGGAAGCACAGCTTGCTGCGTGGGTTTAAACATGCAACACAACACTTAAGGGCAAGACTGATATTCAGTGTGTTTTCCTTTCACGCTTGTGATGGGATTGGAAGAGCGCAGATGTAGTCTGGTCCAGGTCTGAAGGTGTAGTTTCTCAAGAGCCTATTGAAACCGACTGTTAGGACAAACGTTGCTTTCTCAGTAGTTCGTTTCGATACCGCGCTTTTAACTTTCGCTTGGGCAGCGTCAGTGTCCGGCTTTGAGATTCGCTTCAGATGGCAACAGGTGAATATTCTTGTTGCTCCGTTTTTGCAATTTCTTACTCGCAGTCCAGATTAAAAACCTGGGCGCCTACCTACTCAAGACTGAAACCGGGTCATCTTCAGACTTCAAAACGTCTCGTCTGAGTCTTGCGTTTAAGAAAGGTTTACAGAAAATCGGACGGCACGTTTTAAGATAAAATAAAAAAATGTTAGTTCTAAGCCCTATACGGGAAACCCGTAAATCAGTAGAGCTGTCTGTGGATTCACTAGAGATGGGCGGCGGATTTGGACTGGGTAAACTGTCCTCAGGCAAAAATGTGAGGAGTCTTAACCGTAGTAGTAGCAGCAACCGTAACACACGTTATTGAAACGATTCGGCACAGCTGTTGATCTGGCGCTTTGATTTTTGTGACGTTTTCCCTTCTCTGTCTACAGCTGCAGTCCTGTCGCCCGTGGTGCTCAATGGCCCGGACCCCGGCGCGGGACCGCCCGCACGTGCTGAAGCTGCTCCTCGCGTGCTCGCTCCTGGTGCGTCACCGGCCCCCGCGGTCGTGCTCTTGTCGCGTCTCGCCCCTCTCGTCAAACACCGAGCGCGCCACGGGACTTATAAACACGTTTTGTTGAATTGCATCACCTGACAACATAGGACGTGTATTTGGGGGGAAAAGTGAAAATACCACAGTGCGCTGCACGTTAGCGCGCTTACATTTATTTTAAAAAAAGGCTTACTCCTAAAACTGTGAGGGTTTGTATGAATGTGACATTTAGCGTGGTTTATTCTGTTTTTCAAAAGTGATATTTCCAAATTCCATTCAGCGATTCTAAAGGCAAATTCCGTCGACACCTCGTCGTTGTTTGATATACAGTCGCTGATCATCCTGCAGCCTCAAACCCCCTTCCTAGTTACGTAGGTGGTGCCAATTTCGCATAGGCGGTACCCCCAATTAAAAAGTAAGAACTGTTTCAAGTATTTAAGGCTGTGACCCACACTCCGGCAACAAACTGATCTCTCTTCCCAATTCTTTTTAGATTTTCATACAAGCAGAAGATCCTCAGGACTGCCGGGAACAGGAGTTCAGGGACAAGTCTGGGACGTGTGTGACCTGTGTCCAGTGCGACGCGGGACAGGAGCTGTCAAAGGTTGGTGCGGAGCCCACTAACCGGCCACGGCGCCGTGTGATCGCCGTGGACCGTTTATTCAGGTGTCCGATTCCTCCTCGATTTCGCATTCATCTTTGTCCACAGTCTTTGCGCTGCTGTACATAGCGTGTGACGTCCACGCTCTCGAGGCTGGAGAGTGCAGGACATCAGACTTCAGTGCCACTGTGTGCGCACATCTGCTATTCCCTGACACACCGTGAGGACGTGGTGACCGAAGACTCGCTTAACAAACCTGTATTTAAGGAAAAGTTAGAATATGCAGAATGTTTAAATCCTTTAAACATGTCACGTTCAAAAGGACATTTCTGTGCCAACAGGACAAGCCTGTGTAGGACTGAGCCTGTCGGGGTTAAAGCTGTTCCCTTTCTTGCACTTGCTACAGGTTGTGTGGGAACCCAAAGAGATGAACTGAAAAGATCTCCTGTAGATTCCTAAGGATTGTATGACCTCTCAATTTTAAAATACTGCTCTGTAACAGCAGAGCTTTCTGATTCAAGTGTTTTTTTTGTGAATTCTCAAGTAAGAGAACACAGAATGGAACTGCTGATTATTCCCAGATATGCTTTTATTCTTGTTCTTACTCAGCTGCAGGACTGTGGGACTTGTGTCCTCTTGGTTCTTGTGTCTCTATCGATCCACTGCCCTGCAGTGGCCAGTGTTGTGGTTTCATTGCGTTCAGTTTTTTGCATAAATGTTTGAGGCAGGCTTCCCTGCTCACCCTGAAGCAAGCACTGGATTGCTGTCAAAGCACTTTCATAGAGAGACGGTTCGAGAGCTTCTCTTGCCTCTTATCCCTTGTTTGTTTTAAAATTAAAGATTTGGGGTCCAGTGGTTTTATGACTTTCATTGTGGTGAATTCCAAATGTTAAGGTCTGGACAAAGAGTTATTTCCTGTGTTTCCTGGACATTAGTGTTTTTGTCTTCCTGATTGGATAGATCTGAGAATCATTATCTTGTCACTGCCGGCAACATCTGCAATCCATTGTGCTCCTCTTCAAAGGGAACAATAGACTCTCTCTGTCCTGCATCAGGCGCTCCGAGCTCCTCTGTTCGAGGAGCTGCACGAGCAGGGGAAGCTCTGATCTAGCCGTGGGGATGAGGCAGCCGCTGCACTTTTCCGAGCTGATTGATCTTGTCTTTCGCACAGTCCACCGAAAAATAAATCCCCAACTTTATCTCATAGGTGCAACTTTAAAATTGAATTGTGCTTTTGTGATTTCTATATCAAATAATTTGACTCACATTATTTGTAATTTATAGCAAAATAATAACTTCTTATTCTATATGACTGATGAGGATCTTCAGGGTCATTTGTGCTTTTATCTTTTAAGAGTTGAGAAAGATGGAGTTTTCTGTTTTTGTTAAATTTGTATATGGTTCTTCCTGTTGTCGGTTCAGAATCAGATTCTTTCATGAATGGGTGGAAAGGCTCTATTCTGGATGAGTTGAAATGCCGTCTCAAAAACTACTGAGCAGTGAGCAGAGATTCCTCCCACTAAATTATGAGAACTAAATCACAACTTCTGTAAGCCGGCAAGGAGATTTTTGTGAAAATAAAACATTCCTTGCCTTCTTAGAAGGTATTGATGTTACAGGGAATGATGGGATGTTTTCACAATTTATGAGGCTTGTTTTCATTGAAGAAAAACAAGCAGAAAGAGAGTATGGTGTTAGCACACCTGTTTTATTGGGATGTATATTTATGCTTCATGTTAAATGTAAAATAGTTGCATTGCTTTGTCCAGGCTTAACACAGCCTTCATGAAATGAGAATAACCGTTATGGAGGTGGTAGTGGTGATGTATTAGATGAAAGGAACGCCAGAGCTTTAATTTCATTTGTGTTTCTCAGTGTGGGCTGTACACATGAGTAAGCGCAATTCAGCTGTTAAGCTGTTCTTTAAAAAGTCACGCCCTGGTGGTTTGATCACGCTGTCTGTGAAACGTATTGGACCATGCACTATCAAATGGTAGCCTATTTTTAAGTAGTAAAACATAAACCCAGGCACCTCTGTCTCTCGTATTTTCTTTACATGAGCGCACATGCAACAGATATACAGATATTTAAACCCAAGCTAAGTGGCTTTATTTTATCTTGGCTCCAGCGTTCGAGCTGTGTGGGTCGAAAGAGCTGATGTTCTCCTGCCAAACGCTAATGGCCAGGAGTGCAGAGCTCCCAGACCCCCGCGATGTGTGTTAATAATTGGCTGCCTAATTCATCAGCGGCCAAGTAAGCTGCCAAAGAACAGTCAATGTTCAGGCCTCAGAAAAAGAGAGGGCCCTTCAGCCGAGAGCTGGCGCTGGCCGTGTGTCCTTGTTCACGCAGGGCAGGTCCCGTGCTCCTGTGTGCACACTGGAAGTGGCCGCTGTAGACGGAATCTTTTCAAACGAAAAGGGAGTATAACGTTACAAAAGCTGCAAAAAATGATATTTGTTTGGTTTCCTGGGTTAGATTTTCCTGTCAGTCCTCTTTGTTGTTCTGTCTGTGTGCCCTCCTCCCGGGAAGAGCAGAGAGACGCTGGGAGAAGTGGGGTGCGGGCTGGGAGCCGGGAGCTGCTGGCAGCGGCTGTCGCTAGTGCAGGGAAATGGCAAAGGGATCAAGTTACTGAGCTCCAAGCACTGAGCCTGCTAGCTGGCATTAAAGGGTTGCAGGGAATGTAAGATGGCACATTGAGTTAACGAACCCGCATTGTTTTTTAGGCGCGTTCATTACTGGATCAGATGACTTGTCTCCCCTAAGGAGTCATATGATTCCTGCTTAATCTCTAAAATATCTGTGAGTCTGAACATGCTGTAACCTCTTTGAGCATGTACCTCTATTGCTCTTTGTTTCCCTTGGCTTTCTAACTAAAACTTGATCTGAGGAGAGATGAAAACTGGGACTTGCATGTACTGGCTTTTCTGTGTAGACTCGCCATAGTGATATTTCACTCCAGGGAGAAATGGGGGGACAGAGATGGGCTTTTATGTAAAAACAAAAAACTTTTTTTTTTACATTTTAATTAAAAAATAATAGAGACTACTTGTCAAGTTTTTTAGAAACTTAGTGGATTTGCTTGTTGTTCACCAAATGTTTTTTCCTTCTGAAAGAAAATTTCCTGCATTTCCTAACAGGGTGAAATTGACGAACCAGTATAGTATTTCAGTGAACGAATTGTTCTTGTGAACTTCACAAGGTTGCTCCTTACTCTTATAGCGAGCGCCCTGTCGTTTCAACATTCTTCTTGGTGTTTATGATGCCTCCTGAAGACGCTCGTTCTTGTCGATGAGCAGGCAGTGTGGAAGCCAGGCGTTGCTTCACCAGGTGTGGGATTCCTGTCGTTAATCCCCTCTGCTTGTCTGCTTTGTGTGCCGTCTCAGCAGGGGGGCTGGACAGCTGGCAGGCAGAGGGCACTGACCACAGCAGCTGTCTGCTGCTTGTTCCCATGACCAGCCCAGCCTGTGGTCAGTCCCTGATCTGAAATACCCCACTGCTGGCTTGGAGAGTAGAGGAATGCCCAGGTCAGGCACCCACCCCTACAGCTACTGCCAGCTTGCAGAGTTTGCCCACCTGGCACCAAGCTGAACCTACAAGACTGAAAGCCCTTTGCTGATAAGCTTCCCTTAATAATATAAAGTGAGTGTAGAGTGAAGGGACCCCCGTGGTCCTCTGCCACATTCTGCTGTGTTCCAACCTCAGAATACAATGCATTTGAACAGGATTTTTTTTTATACAAGTGACAGAAAATGCTTGACATTTTGATAGGGGCATAATCATTTGTATTGTAAAAGAAAACTTTCATGAACATTCCAAGCTGGACAAATATTCACCCCTCTGAGACCTTAAGCATCTAATATTAAGTTGGTCCCCATTTTGCAGCAATCACAGCCTCCAGTCTTTTGCTGTGTGCTTTAACCGACTTCGCACATCCTGCGGCTTGAATTGTCACCCAGTCGTCCTTGCTGCTCCAGCTGCTCCAGGTGGCTGGGGGGGCGGTGGTGTTCAGCAGTCTTCAGATCCTGTCGCGGATTCTCTGTTCAAGTCTGGGCTGTGACTGGACCACTCAAGGACTCTCCCCGCCTTCTTTTTCATCCACTTTGGGTTTGGGGTCATTGTCCTGTGTCAATATGAATCTCTGTCACAGTTTCAGATCTTTCGCACACTGGTCCAGTTTGTGCTCCAGGATCTGCCCATATTTTGCTCCTTCAACTTTGCCCTCTATTTTGACAAGCCGACTAGTTCCTGCCGATGAAAAGCAGCTCCAATACTTTATGCCACTGCCGTGCTTCACTATGGGGATGGTGTTATGTCCCTTGCCTGACTTCTCCAATGGTCCGTCCACAACTCAGCTCCCTAGTTGTTGCGTAACCCCTTCGTCTTCATGTTGCTTTGTATACACTGTCCAATGGCGAGAACTCACACAGATAGGTGTATTTAACCTTACAAGGACAGGTGTGTCCAGTCTGAATGGTTAACCACTTTAATTGTGCATAGGTGGATTCCAATCAACATACTGTGCAAAATCTGAAGGCAACTGGTTGAGGCAGAGCTTATGAAGGAGTGTTAATGATAAGGAGGTGAATATTTTTCGAATGAAGATTTTAAGGGTTTTTATTTTTTAATTATTTTATTAGCTCCAAATTTATAAATACATTGATATTGTCGAGGATAAGTATGGCTCAAAAGGGGAAAGAAATATAAGTCTATCAAGTTTACAGCATGTAACAGTCTGGCAAAATACAATGGCAGTGAATACTTTGTACAGCCACTCTAAGTGGCCTTGTGTCCCATAGTACACTGTGGGAACAGGACCCTGCGATGGCGCTGGAGTGAAGTCAGGGAAGACTATAAGCTGAACTTGCATTGAGACGTGTCTGTATTTCCTCTTTGCTCTTGTTGCTCTTATTGGAAAATGAAGTCAACAAAAGCTTCCTGCTGTTATACACGTTTATATATTGCTGTCCATGACTTTCAAATACATTTATTTACTAAATTAATTGGGACATTTCAAAACGTATTCATAATACTTTAAATGCCTATTCTAAAAATCTCTATGGTTGTTTGTCTGTAGGGAGAATGTGTTGTGTTCTTAAAGAGAGCTCAGACTGAAATGGATGAAATGCATTTTCTCCCTGTTGAAAGCCTGGAAAAAAACATAGAAATGAAAATGTTCTCCTTACAATAACTCCGCTTCTCATGTACAGAATTATCTGGGAGTGATCTGAACAGCTGAAAGTGAGGTCTTTTATCGCAGATGCAGAGATCCTCTGGACTGATCCAAGGGAGGCTGGAATTAGTGGAATGTATGAAATGTGTTCAAAGCTCAATGAAGAGATTTCTGAATTTTGCAGACAAAAAGATGCAAACAGTGTGTGAAAGGTCTGCTCTGCAGGCTGTGCCTCTGTAGACTGCAATGTCTGGTCCAGACCTACACTATTTACATGAACCAGTTCATCCTTCAGAATCATGTGCATTTTGAGAATATTACAGAGCCAGTCTTGTTCTGATTGTACTCTCTGAAGATAAGATTGCACCTTCTGCCAAGTGGAAAAACTGCACTT